GAGTGAACCAGTGGATGGAAGATCTCTTTCTCTCTCCCTCTCTCTCTGTAACTCTGCCTTTCAAATAAATAAATAGATAGATAGATAAATCTTAAAAACAAGCTCATGTGTTAACTTTGTGCCTGTGGGGAGGTATAATCTATGTTCTAAGTAGTTGACTGACATTCAGATTGTTGTTCTGGTTGAGGGTGGGAGTTCTGCTCTGTAGCTGGAATAACAGGCCTCAGCTCTGCTATGGATAATACCAACTGAGAGCATAAGACTAAATTGAAGGTTTTTGAATTGTTGTAAATTTCTCAAAATTTAACAAAAATTTAATATGAAAGTATACATCACCCAGTTTTTACATCACAGTAAAATTGGACTGTTGAGGGGGGGACATTGATTTGTCTGTGGGAGAGCCTTTGTTTATTCTCATTCCAAGGCTTCTAACATGGTGACACTATTTCCTTGTATTACTGCCATTCTTCGATGGCTCTGTTTCCCAACTAGTAGCCATCTCTACACATCATCTATCATAAGATTTATAAAGGGATCAAATTCCCACAATATTTTTTGAACATGTCTGATACCATTTAATTTCAATAACTTCTTGTGCATAATTTTGTTTGTTTCAACTCAGAAAGGTGAGCTTTGTTTATGGTGTCTACTTGGCAGACTTAATTGTGTTTTTTTTTTTTAAGATTTTATTTATTTATTTGAGAGGCAGAGTTACAGACAGAGGGGGAGACAGAAAGAAAGGTCTTCCATCCACTGGTTCACTCCTCAAATGACCACAATGGCTAGAGCTGCCAGGAACCAGGAGCTTCCTCTGAGTGCAGGTGCCCAAGCACTTGGGACATCTTCCACTGCTCTCCCAGGCCTTAAGCAGAGAGCTAGATCAGAAGAGGAGCAGCCAGGGCTTAAAATGGTACCCATCTGGGATGCTGGTGCCAGAGCCAGAGGCTTCTACTAAGCCACAGCACAAGCTCCAGACTTAATTGTTTTATTCTTTTTTTTTTTTTAAGAGTTTTTTATTTAAAAAGGAAGAGTTACAGAGAGGCAGAGAGAGAGAGAAAGTCTTTCATCTGCTGGCTCACTCCCCAGACGGCCACAACAGCCGAAGCTGAGCTGATCCGAAGCCAAGAGCTTCCAGTTCTCCTGTGGGGGTGCAGGGGCCCCAGGACTTGGGCCATCTTCTGCTTTTCCAGGCCATAGCAGAGAGCTGAATCGGAAGTGGAGCAGCTGGGACTCAAACCTGCGCCCATAAGGGATGCTGGTGCTGCATGTAGCAGCTTTACCTGGTACACCATGGTGTACCAATTGTTTTATTCTTACATATAAAACCTATGCAAAAGCCAATATTTTAAGAAGGTTGGAAGGTAGCTAATCTCTTTTTGTTTGCAGTGGAAGAGGAAATCCAGACTTTAATTCTTTGGATCTTGCTCTTCCACATCCCTAAAAAAGAGAATTTATTGACCCCCATAATTGAAAGGTTAATTGGAAAGCTGGCCTCAGACATGGGACAACTCAAGTAATGTTGTATTAGGGCTCAAGCTTTGTTTATCTTAACATTGTTTTTCTTTCTGTTGAGTTTATTCTCAGGCTCTCAACAGATGACATGTTTAGGTTAGATCTTTGTAATTAGCAATCTTAGAGAAGAACTGGCCTACCTCTCTATACATATACACACACATGCATGTATTTCTCTATCTAGGTCATTGCCTGGATCACATTCAATCTCTAGTCTTGTTGAGTTGTAGAAACTTTTTATGTATTCTGGGTATTGAACCCCTTTCAAACATGTTGTTTGAAAATATTTTCTCCATTCTTTGGATTACCTTCCTGTAACCTTGATAGTGTCCTTTGACACAAGTCTTTAATTTTTTTAAAATTTATTTATTTATGTGAAAGGCAGAGTTACAGAGAGGCAGAGGCAGAGAGAAAGATCTTCCGTCCGCTGGTTCACTCCTCAGATGGCCAGAGTTGGGCCAATCCTAAACTCCAGGCCATAGCAGGGAGCTGGATTGGAAACAGAGCAACCAGGACTTGAACTGGCGCTGGTATGCCGCAGGCAGCGGCTTTACTCTGTGCCACAGCGGCAGCCCCAAGCCCCAAGTCTTTAATTTAAAAAAAAACAAAACAAAAACAAAAAAAAAACCTTTTTTTTTTTTATTTGAAAGTCAGAGTTGGAGAGAAAGGGAATGAATGGATGTTTTTCATCTGCTGATTTACTCTCCAGATGGCTGCAATGGCCAGCCCTGGGCCAGACGAAGGCCAGGAGCCTGGGGCTTCATCTAGATTTCCTGCATGGCTTTCAGGGGCCAAAACACTTGAGCTGTCTTCTGCTGCTTTTCCCAGGCCGTTAGCAGGGAGCTGGATTGGAGTGGAGCAGCTGTGGTATGAACTGGTGCCCATATGGAATGCTGTTGTCACAATGCTGCTATACCACATGCCAGCCCCCGCAAGATTTCAGTTTTGAAGAAGTCCAGTTTACCTAGTTTCTCTTTGTTGCCTATGCGTTTGGCATTCTGATATGGGATATCAGTGTTCAAGCTGTGGCTTAATACACTGCACTACAACATCCACCTTGTAATAAGTTTTAAAATCAAGTTTATTTTTTTTAAAGATTTATTTTACTTATTTGAAAGGCAGAGTTACAGAGAGAAGTAGAGACACAGAGAGAGGTCTTCCATCTGCTGGTTCACTCCCCAATTGGCTGCAACAGCCAGAGCTGCGCTGATCCAAAGCCAGGAACCCAGGAACTTGTACCAGGTCTCCCATGCGGGTGTGGGGGCCCAAGTCCTTGGGCCATCTTCCACTGCTTTTCCAGGCCAAAGCAGAGAGCTGGATCGGAAGAGGAGCAGCTGGGACTAGAACTGGTGCCTATATGGGATGCCAGCGCTTCAGGCCAGAGCTTTAACCCACTGCGCCACAGTGCTGGCCCCAAAATCAAGACGTTTAAAATTCAACTTTGTTCTTTTTTAAGATTGTTTTGGCTATTTGAAGTCCTTTGAGATCCCATATGAATTTCAGGATGGATTTTCCTATTTTTGCATAAAGAGTCAGTAGGATTTTTATAGGGATTGCATTGAGTCTGTATATCACTTTAAGTAATAGCATCATCTTTTTTTTTTAAGATTTTATTTATTTTATTTGAGAGGTAGAATTACAGTGAGAGGGAGAGACAGAGAGAAAGGTCTTCCTTCCATTGGTTCACTTCCCAAATGGCTACAACAGCTGGAGCTGCGCCAATCTGAAGCCAGGAGCCAGGCATTTCTTCCTGGTCTCCCAAGTATGTCAGAGGCCCAAGCACTTGGGCCATCCTCTTTTTATTTTTTTTTTTAAGGTTTATTTATTTATTTGAAAGTCAGAGTTATACAGAGAAAGGAGAAGCAGAGAGAGAGAGGTCTTCCATTTGATGGTTCACTCTCCAGTTAGCTGCAATGGCTGGAGCTGTGCTGATCCAAAGCCAGGAGCCAGGAGCTTCTTCCGGGTCTCCCATGTGGGTGCAGGGGTCCAAGGACTTGGACCATCTTCCATTGCTATCCCAGGCCATAGCAGAGAGCTAGATCAGAAGAGGAGCAGCTGGGACTAGAACTGGCACCCATATGGGATGCTGGCACTTCAGGCCAGGGCGTTAACCCACTGCGCCACAGCGCTGGCCTCATGGGCCATCTTCTACTGCTTTACCAGGCCACAGCAGAGAGTGGATTGGAAGTGAAGCAGCCAGGATTAGAACTGGCGCCCATATGGGATGCTGGCACTGCAGGTGGAAGATGAACCTACTGCGCTGCTGCACCAGCCCCCAGTAGCATCATGTTAACAATCGTCTTTAGTTCATTAACATGAGATGTTTTCCATTTATTTAGTTCTTCAGCTTCATGCAGCAGTATGGAGTTTTTTCCATGAACAAATTTATGCCTCCTTGGTTTGGTTAATTTTCAATTGTTCTATTTTTTTCTGATGCTTTCATAAATGGAATTGGTTTTTTAATTTCCTTTTGAGATTATTTTTATTAGTTTATAGAGATATACCTTATTTTTATATGCTAGTTTTTATATCCTGAAACTTTGCTGAATTTGTTTATTATGTCTTTTATGGATTCTAGTACTTTTGATCCCCCAATCACATGAGATGCTCAGGAAAACCATTTTTTTTTTGTTTTATTTGACAAGTATAGTTATAGACAGTTAGAGAGAGAGAGACAGAGAAAAAGGTCTTCCTTCCGTTGGTTCACTCCCCAAATGGCCGCTACGGCCGGTGCGCTGCGCCAATCCAAAACCAGGAGCCAGGTGCTTCTTCCTGGTCTCCCATGTGGGTGCAGGAGCCCAGGCACTTGGGCCATCCTCCACTGCACTTCCGGGCCACAGCAGAGAGCTGGACTGGAAGAGGAGCAACCGGGACTAGAACCTGGCGACCATATGGGATGCCAGCGCCACAGGTGGAGGATTAACCAAGTGAGCCATGGCGCTGGCCCCCCAGAAAAACCATTGTAAACCAGAAGTTACTTGAATGTCAGATTTATGATCTGGCATACAATAGACCATGTAAAACCAGGTGACTGATAGTTTTCAGACCAAGTCTCCCAAATACAATATTTTGACCATGGGATTTTACTTTTTAATTATTTATTTTTAATAGGTAATATATGCGCAGTAAAAAACATTCAAAAGGAACAAAGAAGTAAACAGGAAAAAGCACATCATCCTCTTGTCTCTGATCCCTGATTATTTAGTTTCCCTTCCCAGCAGTAAATCCAGTACTCACCAGTTTCTTATACATCTCAGAGATGTCCATATATATACAGGCAACAACATGTATATGTGTAAATATGTATGTATGCACACAGACACATGCATGTATACATAGACTATTCTATGTGAACTACTTTCCCTGATAGCAGTTGTATTTGCCACCCCTGGCTTGATGTATGCTATAGTTGTGACCTAGAATAAAGGGCTATCATAATTATTTTGTATGTTGCATAATAACACTTGCTTTAATAATTTTCATTTTAGTTTTGATGAAGCAAGAACACAGAGAAGAAATTGATTTGTCGTCAGTTCCACCTTTGCCTGTGCCTCATCCTGCCCAGAGTCAGAGGCCTTCCTCAGATCTGGGGCACCCACATGACAGTGTGCTCTCAGTGCAGCGGAACTTGGTTTGTCCGATCCAGCAAGGATATGCATCCTTGGTAACTTCATCCCATCTACCACAGTTGCAGTGTAGGGATGAGGGTGCTGGGAAAGAACACATGGTATCTTCTTCAGTAGTGCACCAGCCTTTTCAAGTCACACCAACACCTCCTGTGGGATCTTCCTATCAGGCTATGCAAACTAATGTTGTATACAATGGACCAACTTGTCTTCCTGTTAATGCTGCCTCTAGTCAAGAATTTGATCCAGTTTTGTTTCAACAGGATGCAGCTCTTCCCAGCTTAGTAAATCTTGGCTGTCAACCACTGTCACCCATACCATTTCATTCTTCAAATTCTGGCTCAACAGGACATCTCTTAGCACATACACCTCACTCTATGCAGACTCCGCCTCATATGCCATCAATGGGATACCATTGTTCAAATGCAGGACAAAGATCTCTTTCTTCTCCAGTGACTGACCAGGTCACAGGTCAGCCTTCCCCTCAGTTGCAACCTATTACATATAATCCTTCACATTCTGGGTCTGCTGCAACAGCTTCCCCAGCAGTCTCTCGTCCCCTGGCTAGTTCACCACTTTCTGGGCCATCGTCTCCTCAGCTGCAGCCTATGCCTTACCAATCTCCTAGCTCAGGAACTGCCTCGTTACCATCTCCAGCCACCAGAATGCATTCTGAACAGCACTCAACTCAAGCACAAAGTACAGGCCAGAGAGGTCTTTCTGCACCTTCACCCTTAATGTGTCACAGTTTATGTGATCCAGCTTCATTTCCATCTGATGGGGCAACTGTGAGCATTAAACATGAACCTGAAGATCGGGAACCCAACTTTGCAACCATTGGTCTACAGGACATCACTTTAGATGATGGTAAGTTCATCCATTTGTTCTTGAAGCAGTGAAGAGTTAGGAACTTTCTTCTCCGAAAGCATGAAAACATTACCATGGAATGTTTACTGAGTTATAGTTGGGTCTTTAAATAAGTTGTTATTAGAAATGTATGTTAATATATAATTTTGAGAATAGATATGAAAATCTATTCTTTAAAGCATTTTATCACTAATATCTGTTGCTGAATAGAGATTCTTTTCTTTTAGAACACATGGCTAGGTGACAGTATCAAGAGAATGAAACTCAGGGGCATTAATTCAGTGAACGTTGTTGAATGCCATCAGTTTACAAGGTCTGTTGCTAGTGTTGGGAATACTAAGAATGTGTTAAGATAGAGTGTCTGTCCTTGAAGAGATTCACACAGGTAACAAGCCTGTTCTCCAGAACCAGTAATTAATTAGAAGTTAAGATACCTACAGCTAAGATGTTGTATTCCATACTGGAGTGCCCAGATTAAATTCATGACTCTAGCTTCCTACTAATCCAGACCTTGGAAGGCAGCAGTGATGGCCCAAGTTGGAGTGCCTGGTTCAAGTCCCAGGTACTCTGATCCAGCTTCCTGTTAATCCATCTGGAAGCAGTGGATAGCTGATTGAGTACCAGGGTCCTGGCTTTGTCTCCTGCCCATTCCCAGCCATTGCAGGCATTTGAGGAGTTAACCAACAGATGGAAGCTGTTTTTCTGTTTATGGGTCTCTGTCTTTCAAGTGAAATTTTAAAAAATAATAGTAAGAATCTTCCCCCCTATGGCCCTGCCAACTTGCTGAAACAGGTGGTAGTGATGGTACAAGATCAGACTTTTTCTGCTGCTGCTATAGCTGTTGGCACAAGAGTAAAAAAGAAGTTATCTGTAAGAAAGCATTTTCCCATTTAAAAAAAAAAATTGGGGGCTGGCTCTGCTTGTGGTGCCGGCATCCCATATGGGCACCGGTTCTAGTCGCGCTGCTCGTCTTCCCATCCACCTCTCTGCTATGGCCTGGGAAAGCAGCAGAAGATGGCCCAAGTGCTTGGGCCCCTGCACCCACATGGGAGACCCAGAGGAAGCTCCTGGCCCCTAGCTTCGGATTGGCGCAGCTCCGGCCATTGAGGCCATCTGGGGAGTGAACCATCGGATGAAAGACCTTTCTCTCTCTCTCTCTCTCTCTCTCACTGTCTGTAACTCTGCCTTTCAAATAAATAATAAATAAAAATAAGTCTTAAAACATGAATAAATAACTTTATAACAAAATAAAAAAATTAAAAATAAATTGTGTAAACCCAGGAAGTTGGTATGCAGCTTTCTTTTATGACATCAGTGTACTGTAGAACTCAGGATTAGTCATATCAATAGTTGAAAATTTCCCAAGATAGAATTTCCACATAGTGATTTATTTTAAAGATTTATTTATTTGAAAGAGAGAGAGAGAGAGAGAGAGATCCATCTTCCATCTGCTGGTTCACTCTACAAATGCCTACAATAGCTGTAACCAGACCAGACCAATGGCAGGAACCAGGAAAAATCCATCCAGGTCTCCCATGTGGGTGATAGGAACCCAAGTACTTGGTGGCCACCATCGACTGCTTCCCAAGTGCATTAACAGGGAGCTGAATCAGAGTACCTGAGACTTGAACCAGGCACTCCAGAATGGGATGTCGGTGTTCCAAGTGCCCCTCGGGTAACAACTTGAGAGTTTATTCTTGGCTTTATCTTAGTAAAATTTTGTCTAAATAGATATTTAATGAAAGCTACCTATAATTATTACTCAAAAGAAAAGTCTGAAACATAGATATAGAATTTTAGTTTTCTATCTTCATTCTATGATAAATTACTATAGGAAAAGAATTCTGGATCAACCATCTCCTTTTACAGATCTAGAGAAGCTGAATTCACTACTTAGTTGCAGTGGTAATATTAAATCTCAAGTCCTAAGCACACGGGGCAAGGATGGCTTTCCAGTTAGACCAGTAAGTAACTCACTACAGTGCAACAAGTCTGAGTCATTACACCCGTGGTATAAAAGAAGCAAATTAGGAGATCAGCAGAGATATGTGACAGATTTCATGGGATGAATTCAACAAGTTTTCTGAACTGAATCTTGGGGGATGAGTGTAAATTTGCAATAAATATGTTTTTAGAGGGCAGATCAGATACAGGGATGTGACTGGGAAAACGTGATTATTTGTGTCTGGGAGGGAATAGAATGGTATAGTAGAGGACGTTTTTTAAGGTCATAAGGGGACATGCCAAGTAATTTGTGTTTAAACAGAAGATGTATGTGTAAACTAGAACATCTGAAATTTGCATTTTCCTATTTGTTATCTAATCCTGCCATTCCTCCATCTCTGAGACAGATAGTGAGATTTACAGAGTTGATCTTGCTGAGGGTCACAGAACTAGTAAGCAGCAGAGCTGAGACTGGATTCATACTCTCCTCAGTCCATTGTTTCTATGACACCACAGCTGCTGCATGGTGACACCTGGCCAAGATGGTTAGATGTTTGCTAAAGGGGATCCCTTGAGATTTTTTGTTGTTTTAAATTTCTAGGCCAGCGCTGCAGCTCACTAGGCTAATCCTCCACCTAGCGGCGCCGGCACACTGGGTTCTAGTCCCAGTCGGGGAGCCGGATTCTTTCCCGGTTGCCCCTCTTCCAGGCCAGCCCTCTGCTGTGGCCAGGGAGTGCAGTGGAGGATGGCCCAGGTGCTTGGGCCCTGCACCCCATGGGAGACCAGGAGAAGCACCTGGCTCCTGCCTTCGGATCAGCGCGGTGCACCGGCCACAACGTGCCAGCCGTGGCGGCCATTGGAGGGTGAACCAACGGCAAAAGGAAGACCTTTCTCGCTGTCTCTCTCTCTCTCTCACTGTCCACTCTGCCTGTCAAAAAAAAAAAAAAAAAGTTTTTCTAGAGAGGGGCCAGCGCTGTGACATAGTAGGTTACTACTTTTACAAATCTGGAGAGGCTGAATTCACTACTTAGTTGCAGTGGTAATATTAAATCTCAAGTCCTAAGCACACGGGGCAAGGATGGCTTTCCAGTTAGACCAGTAAGTAACTCACTACAGTGCAACAAGTCTGAGTCATTACACCCGTGGTATAATGTCTGTCTGAGGCTCCAGCATCCCTTATGGGTGCCAGTTCATGTCCCAGCCACTCCACTTCCCCTCCAGCTCCCTGCTGATGTGCCTGGGATGGCAGCAGAGGATGGCCCAAGTGCTTGGGCCCCTGCACTCATGTGGGAAACCTAGAGGAAGCTCCTGGCTCCTGGCTTCACTGCAGTCATTGCAGCCATTTCTGGAGTGAACCAGCAGATAGAAGACCTCTTTGTCTGTCTCTCCCTCCCTCCCTCTTTCTCTCTCTCTCTCTCTCTCTCTCTCTCTCTCTCTCTGTAACTCTGCCTCTCAAATAAAACAAATAAATAAATATTTTTGAAAAGAATTTTCTGGAGAAAACATGGAACATTCTCCACAGGGCACTTGCAGATTTTTTTTTTTAATTAAAAAAAGTTTTAAAGATTTATTTATTGGGGCCAGCATGGTGGCACAGCAAATAAGCCATTGCCTGCAGTATTGGCATCCCATGTGGGCACCAGTTCGAGTCCTAGTTGCTCCACTTCCAATCTAGCTCCCTGCTAATGCACCTGGGAAATAAAAAACTTTGAAGACTTATTTATTTATTTGAAAGGCAGAGTTACAGAGAGAAGGAAAGAGGGAGAGAAAGATCTTCCATCTGCTAGTTCACTCCCCAAATGCCTACAACTGGGACTGGGCTGGACTAAAACCAAGATCTTCTTGTGGGTCTCCACGTGGATGCAGGAACCCAAGCACTTAGGCCATCCAATGCTGTTTTCCCAGGCGATTATCAGGTAGCTGAATTGGAAGTGGAATAGCTGAGGCTTGAACTAGTGCCCATATGGCTACCATTGCTGGTGAAAACACCTTTACCTGCTACGTCACAATGCTGGCCCTGCATCTTGGAGAATTTAACTTCCTGAACACATGTTCACATCTGTATCTGATATATTACAGTTGCATTGGGAATACTTGAGGGATCTGGTTTACGCATGTTGCTGTACTGTTTATGCACAGCTAGCCTCAGAGTGTCTGCCTATTTAATGATGAATCCAAGTCGGCGCCGCGGCTCAATAGGCTACTCCTCCACCTAGTGGCGCCGGCACACCGGGTTCTAGTCCTGGTCGGGGTGCCGGATTCTGTCCCAGTTGCCCTCATCCAGGCCAGCTCTCTGCTGTGGCCTGGGAGTGCAGTGGAGGGTGGCCCAAGTGCTTGGGCCCTGCACCCGCATGGGAGACTAGGATAAGCACCTGGCTTCTGCCTTCGGATCAGCGTGATACACCTGCCGCAGCGTGCCGGCCATTGGAGGGTGAACCAACGGCAAAGGAAGACCTTTCTCTCTGTCTCTCTCTCTCTCTCTCTCACTGTCCACTCTGCCTGTAAAAAAAAAAAAAAAAAATATATATATATATATATATATATAAATGATGAATCCAGAAGACAAGAGACCCCTATGTCTATGCAAACAAATTGGAAATAAAAACTTTTCCAAATATATATGGGCTTTAAAAATTTTACTTATTCCTTCTTTAGGCAATTTTGGGGAATAACTGTGCATAACTGTTTTCTACCCTTAAACAAAGGGTGAGACCTTGACTATCACCCATGTGTAATATAACTGAAGATAGGAGATTTATTAACCAGGAAAATGCATTTTTTCTGAAAAAATAAAAAGTCCAAAGCTAGAACTTGCTCTTTATTATACCAAATATTTTTTTTTATTTTATTTTTTTATTTTTTTTGATAGGCAGAGTGGACAGTGAGAGAGAGAGACAGAGAGAGAAAGGTCTTCCCTTGCCGTTGGTTCACCCTCCAATGGCCGCCGCTGCAGCTGGCGCACCGCGCTGATCCGATGGCAGGAGCCAGGATCCAGGTGCTTTTTCCTGGTCTCCCATGGGGTGCAGGGCCCAAGCACCTGGGCCATCCTCCACTGC